TTATCTTCAGTTTTTATTTTGTATTCCAAAAAACTTCTTAGACCAGAAAGTAATACATATGACGATTTCAGGGACTTTTGCAATGAAAAATTGGACAAATCCTAGAGAAATTGAGAGAAAATGGCAAAACTGTTTGGACCCCTGTACATTTTCAGTGGGCCGCATTCGCTTTTTGCCTTACGGCTCAATAGTGCGCATGTCTATTGTGATAGAAAGCATTTGGAACAGCAGGCGTTTCCGTAGGCCTACTCACATTTCCAATGATCATGGTGTTTTAGTGCCGTCGGAATATTAGATTTTGTATGCAAGCATGCTAGGTATATGCCCATGTAATTTCTACGTAAAACGTCCTTACACACACTTTCAATATCCATGTATTATAAATATTAATAATAATAATAAATAAATGAAAAAAGAGCTGTGGATTCATCATTCTTCAAAGCCGAAGTCTGTGGTAGATCTGGCAAAAACAAAATCCATACCAGAACTGATATTATTATAGTTTACTGTACTCCGTTAAGTTAACCGAAAACAAAATGTACATGTACATCGAGCGAATGGTATATTGGTTACCATGCCTCCTGGAATAAACTGGCTAAAGATATAGTTAAAACTTATCTGGAAATCAAGTCAGTTATTTTAGTTGAAACTTAAACATTGGGTGAAATTTGTTGTTGAAGAGGGAAGACCGAGTCATGAAAATGAAAAACACCGTCAAAATCGATATAGCCTAAATAATGCATCTATTTTAATTGTCAAACTTTTGCGGGAAATAAAATAAAACTTTCAGTCTGCTGTTCTTTATTTTTAAAGTAAAAAAGAATAGCCTGATTTTTTTTCTTCCAAAAGATTTTAAGTTGGTACATACGTGCTTTTTGGGTGTGGTACCTTGAAATATAGATTTTAAATTTAATTGATAATTTTCTAGCACTACATTAGTTATGAACTTTCCAACGAGACATCGCACGAATAAAAATCGGCCCAGTTAATTAATTAATTAAAACTTTTGAATTAAAAGCGGGACGCTCCTAATTCGTTTTGAATAGTGTGCGCAATTTCTGAACCAGAGCACGCCATTTAAAAAAAAAACACCATTTTTTAAACTGTACAAAGGCCTGCAAAAACAAACAAGCAAATTTATTTGTTACAAGAGGACATTGTTTTCCTTTAAATGTCGTTTGGAAAAGAAAATTTTGAAATTTTAAACAAAGCACGCACACATCAACTTAAAGTTGCAAATAGCACATTCCGTGTATGTATTCCAGTTTAATTTTATTCAGTGATTTAAAACAAACAAAACGGAGAAGGTAGGCCTACATAAACAAGTAAAGCGTCGATATATAACAACTTTACGTACTTGGTCCATCATTTCATGCATCTGCTCTAATTGGGCTCTGGATTTTGGTGTGATGGTGAATACTTGGTACCTTTATTAAAGAAAAAAACGTTATGACGTTAAAAAAACGTTTCGGGAAACGTTATATACAAAATTGAAAACGATGGCTCTCCTCGTGCTATTATTTGGTCGTATGTATAAAAGCTATAGCATTTGCTTTTACAATACCTGCCTTTTCTTTTACTTGCATTTGTAGGCCTAAGAATTAAATGAAGCAAACGCTTTTGCTGGAAAGCATTTGCTAAAAACTAAAAGTAGTTACTTTTGACTTTTTAGCTTTTGGTCTTTTTTCAAGGCTGGGTTGGGGCTACCTTGAGAAAATAAAACAAATACTTCTGCGCAAAAATTGCTGCATGTATTAATCGCGCCAAATTAGTAACACAAAACGTTTATAAGCTGCATATAATACCAAAAACTTTATTTTGAATAACAGTTATGCGAATTATTGTTATTATATTTTTATTAATTCCATTACTAGAAGAAACGATGCGAAGTGTAGGCGTAAAATTGCGGTGTGGAATGGAGAAATATATCCTGCAAAATGACTATGGATGGGCCTCCTTAACTAACAAACAAATCGGGATGTTTCGTTTTGTCGATTGTTGTACCTCACCGCATGATATAGCAACACATTTTATTAATTTTTTTCTCAGTTCTGTGACCTTGAGTTTGAGTGAAAGAAAATATACAAAATGCGAAACTTACCCTTCATAACTCTTGCCATGCGCGACAGCGCAGAGCGTCATCAACGCCAGAACGAATAGCGACTTCATCATGTCTAGCTCGCAGCGAAACACTTGTTCCCAAGAAAGTAGTAGAGAGCTACAAAATGTCCTCTTTTTATTCAAGATTCGGCTGATGGGGTGCCACGCAGCTAATAGATACGGGAACCTCGTTCCAGTTCCAGGTGTTGCAGCTCACAGGCAAGGCACATATAGTTGAATTAATCAATAACAAAATATGTAACAATGATCCAGTTTCTCCGTACGAAGTTCAAGTTGGTGGTCTCAAACATTTGGTTATTAATTATGGTGACTGCTCTATGTTCCGACACCCTTATGTTCCGACAACCCGCGCTTAAGATTGTGTTACTCTCTATGAGGGTTAGTGTTAAGGTTAGGGTTAGGAATGGGAATATGTGCAGTCGGAACATAGGGATGTCGGACCATAGAGGATTCGGAACATAGTGTCTGAACATAGAGGTGTTACCTTTATAGTTACCCTGCAAAATACAGGTTTGTATTTGCAGTTATTTTGGGATAATATAATTGTCTTTACTGTGTTTACAGCTCTCTGTGAAAACTATGTTACCCAGGGGGTATACAGGCACGTAGGAGCCGGAGGGGGCGCGGGGGCCAGTGGCCCCGGCTGAAAATATGACGGGGGCTCCCCCCTAAAAATTTTTTTTTTAAATACAAATACAAACCTTTCATATATTGCGTTTTTCGAGGAATAGAATGGGGTGCTGTGGTCCAATGGTTACGGTGTTCGACTCGTGTGCCGTGGTACATGGGTTCAAATCCTGACCATGTGAACATGGTGCTTGTGCTCTTGAGCAAGGCACTTTTAATTGCTTCGTCCTTCGGATGGGAGGAAAAGCCTTAGGTTCCGTGTGTTGTGTAATGCACGTTAAAATCCGAGTAACACTTATCGCTAAGATATGGGGTTTGCCCCGGTGTTTCTGGCAGTGGCTGCAATGCGCCGCAGCACCTTGTAAACCATTATAAGGTGCTACATAATGGGTCTCATAATAAATTTATCATAAACTGTATTTACCTTTCTTTAATAATAGACATAATCTCCAGCGCATTGAGTACCTGATTGTTGGTAGATACGTGCGCTATATAACTTACTCCATTATTATAAATTGCAGTGTGAAGACTATTCAATGAAACTACAGCGGAAGTGGAAATTTCATTTTGATTTTTCCTTTTTTTTTTCGGCCTGGCGGCAGAGTGGATTTCTTTTAAACCTTATGCCAGTCGCTGTTTTTTTCTGCCAAAATTGATTTATTATGATGTCTCATGAAGTCTCTACGGAGTACGGAGCTCTGGAAGTGCCATCCGACTTGTTCAGATGACGACATATTACAGACAAGATAACAACATCCTGAGATCATTTATAATGGGATGACGACATAATGAAAGTTGGATGACGATATCTTGATATAACTTATTAGGGGATGACGACATCCTGATATAATTTATTATTGGATGACGACATACTGAAAGTAGGATGACGATATCTTGATATAACTTATTAGGGGATGACGACATCCTGAGATAATGTGTAAGGGGACGACGACATCCTGAAAATAGAATGACGACATCCTGAGATCATTTATTATGGGATGACGACATCCTGAAAATAGGATGACGACAGCCTAAGATAATTTTTGATGGGATGACGACATCCTGAAAATAGGATGGCGACATCCTGAGATAATTTATTATGGATGACGACATCCTGAAAATAGGACGACAACATCCTTAGATAATTTGTTATGGGATGACGCTAAACTGGAAGCAGGATGACAACATCATGACATAATTTATCACGGGGTGCATTGAAGCCATCTTGAAACGCACAGGTGGACGTGCGGCTTGTATTTATCGCTGTATATACGTTGTAAACTGAACATGACCACTTAAACATGACCATTCAAAATGTTATTTGGCTATAAAATACCCCATGCAGTAGCTTAGATACAGCACGTGCATGAGGAATGCCTGGAATTTCCTGGGTACCATTGCCAAAGTTCCCAATACTGGATTTGATTTGTTGAAAGCACTTGTCGTGCAAGCTGCATAAGAATAATGAAATACACTCCAGTCTGGGATCTAGACTTGGCATATCACTAAGACGATGATGATATAAAAAAGGGACTTGACATTCCTACATTGAGCATGGCCTAAGTCAAGGATGGACTTAAAAAAAAATTTCACTCCTTTCGGGCGATTCACAATGCAGTGCGCCACCAAGCGTTTGCCATGTCGAGTCCATTTTTCATGTTTACGGTCGAGAAAACGCGGTCCATTTGAATGAGTGTCAGTAGACAACTTGAGCTAATTTTGTTAAAGATTGGGGCATTGCGTTCTGCCGGCTCATAAAAACACCATATTGATTAAAAGGGGAAACAAGGGCGAACATATATTCGAATCATACGCTTACGAAACTACTGACCGGAAAAAAAATTTCAAATGTCCCGCGCTGCGAATTTGTCGACCATCTCCCATCTGGGAAAAATGAACTCTCCGTGGCAAACTCTTGGTGGCACAATTTTAAAATTGTTTTGCTTTGAACTCGATATGGACTCAACTATATTTCTCATCGAAATAAAAATCACATTAATTTTTTCGGGGGGGGGGGGAGTTATCACATTTTCCCCCACAAATCCTTGTACTTTCTCAAGCATAGTCTCAATTTGCTAAATATGAATTTAATCAATAGAAAATATGACTTCACACCTCTTTTTCTTTTCTTTCTTCATCTTGTTTTTTCTTTTTCGGGTGGAGGGGGGCGCCTTGCCCAATCATGGCGATGCCCATGACACACCTAATGAAAAATCTAAAACTAAGTCCAAACAAAATGTCGTCTGTGGTTAAATCACCTTCATTTTATTCATATTCAAAGGTATAATATCGCTTCTGTACTTTGTTCATAACTTGGTTCATTAATCATAACCAATGATTATTAATTTTCAATTATGAAAATCAAAAAAAGGGCAAAAGATTCCTACTGATAAATGTTTTATGTTGGAATAAAAGTTTTAGAGGAACATCGAAAAAAACTATTTTCCCCCTTGCAATTCCCGAGGCAGAGGTACAATCATATTGATGACAATTGGTAACACAATACATGTCAAAACACTACACTGTAATGTCATACTGGAGAGTTTCCTGATGACGAGCAGAGCATACTCTTCAAAACGTCGATTTTAAGCCAACTGGTTCGTCTCAGAATCACACAACTCACTAAGGGATATCTTTCATTCGCATGGTGTTACCGCAAACCTCCCATTCGATGTCATACTAGAATTGCATTTGATATTTTCACCCGGCTCATAAATGCCTGCATTTGTCAAATATCTTCAAATATCTGGGTTTTTTTTTTAATGAACTATCAAGCGTTAATATTTCAGATATAAGTTGTCCTGTCTGTTTTGTCCAACTTTCTGTCTGCGAAATGTTGTGCCTTTATTCCTTGAAAATATGTTTGTTATTCTCGTGTTACTTCTAAAATTTCTCCAAGAAAATCCATCAAAATGGCTAGTTTATGCATATTTTGTCCTTTCTGGAGTATCCTAGTTATTTCACTGTGTGAACCAACAGTCATTGTGTTTCAGGCTATTATCTACCTATTTTGTAATTTAACTTCATTATTTTAGAGATTATAGAGATTTCAAGATTTCATAACTATACTTGTCTGTAGGAGTGCAGATTGTGGTGTTACATAAACATTTCACTTGTAATGAGCTGTCGGTACAGTTCTGCATCCTTTGACCCCCTGAGAAGTCTTTATACCTCAAGCAGAACCTGGCGGAACATCTCCCTGAACCCAGCATAGGTCTCCTCACCGCAAGGCTGAATCTGGTTCTCAGGAAGCTCAAAGCCATAATACCCAGTGTCACGCATCTCCACGGTGTAGGAATACTTAGCTCCTAGGGTCATATAACCAAAGTCCTCACTAGCCCCAGCTGCTGGGTCTGTGTGGAAAAAAAAACAGACGTACGGATTTCAATATTTATTTAAGCAACGCCTGAATAAATCCCCGTCATCTGATTGGTGGGTCGTTGATCACCTGTGTTGAATTATTCATCCCTACCCACGGCCCATCCACACTGCACGAAAAGAAGTTCCTTTACACGGTTAATAGAAGTTCCATTTACCATGAAAGGATCTTCTATTTTTGCCGTGCGCCCAGGCCGTGCGTTGAGACAAATAATTCAATTCATGATCAACGACCAACCAATCAGATGACAGGGATTTATTCTGGCTATAAAAGTGACTGAATCCTGATAAGCCAATTTTTTTTATCAAACTCGAGGCAACCACACAGGCAATGTACAACAGCATAAACAATGTCCAACATCATAAGCAATGCACAGTAGTACAGCCTTGTACCCGCTACGCATCGACCATGCAAGCCAGTGTTAGCAACGTACTGTTAAGAGAGCCTTGTACTTGCTACACATCAGCAGTGGCGTAGCCACCGGGGGGGGGGGGGGAATGGGGGGGGGGGGCGACCGCCCCCCCATGAAACCTTGTCGCCCCCCAGTCGCCCCCCCCCCCTCCCACTGAGATTTTTAGTTTCTAAAAAAATTATCATTGATCTACATGACGCCATGGGCGTCAATCCTGGGGGGACAGGGGGACTGGTCCCCCCACTTTTTGAAGGGTGGGGGACACGATATCAAATGTCCCCCCCCCCGATTTTTGAACTCGTGTCTCATTTACAGGGCCCTATTGTGTACTACAATGTATCTTTTGCTTAGAAAATATTGGTTAAAGTGGTCAGAAATCGCCTTAGATAGCACCACAGAGCATTTAGAATCCAAATTTTTCGGGGCCCTTAAGCGGGCCCCGAACCCCACGCCTATATAGCTCAGAATTCTGGTAGCTGATTCAATGACTCCAACCTCGAAAACAATGTTCAAAAATTTTTCTTATGCCTTCAGCTGAGAAAACCTCGAAAATTATGTTTAAATTATTATCTTTTGTGCTAAGATAATAATTATTGGTTAAAGTGGTAAGAAATTGCCTCTGATCACACCACAGAGTATCGAGAATCCAATTTTTTTCGGGGCCCTTAAGCGGGCCCCGAACCCCACGCCTATAGCTCAGAATACCGATAGCTGATTCAATGACTCCAACCTCGAAAACGATGTTCAAATAATTATCTTTTAAATATTAGTTAAAGCATGGAGGAAAGTGATAAGAAATTGCTTCAGATCACACCACAGAACATCTAGAATCCAATTTTTTAAAGCCCTTAAGCGGGCCCCGAACCCCTACGCCGTAAGGGCTTCGCGCTTCGCGCTCGCATCAGTTCTGATCAAGGTATGTCCCCCCCCCCACTTTTGAGAGGCGATTGACGCCCCTACATGACGCCCCCCATGAAATGTTCCAGTCCCCCCCCCAGCGCCCCCCACTGAAAAATAAAATTCCTGGCTACGCCACTGCACATCAGCCGTACATGCCAGCGTAACCCCAGCATGCATAGCTCACACGACTATGTACAATTCGCGCATAAGCAGTTCCCAAAACGCAGAGCTCAAGTAATTTACCTCCTTCCCGCACGCTGTCCGCAACTCCCCGTAACCACAAGAGTACCCACTTGTGTTAAAAACAAAGGGCAGTCTTTACAAATATGGTGGTGGTGGGGGGGGGGGGGTAAACGCTGGTGAAAAGGGGCACTTGTACACAAAGGGGCAGCAAGGGGGAGGGGGTTAACCCCCCCCCCTTACCACAACCACCCCACCACCCCAGGCCTGCTTGCTACACCACTGCTAATGCAGGATGCACACATCTATCAAAGGTAACAATCATGCATCATCATTTGATAGAATGAGAGGGTAAAGATCCGACCGAACAATTTCTAGAGTGTGGTTGAAGAAGTACTTACACCAGTCTCCGGAGGTCATGACTGAATATGATTTGCCGTGCACAGCTGTCAGTTTGGCGACTGAAGCATGGGCTACTCTTTCCTGTAAAAACATACATGTAGTGCACAAAGATTGTTCAAATTGGCCATGAATTGGACAGTATGGGTACACACTTGCATTGTTTGCAATCAAAGAAACCCGATAAAAACTAATCTTTTCCAAATTCCAATTTGTTGGGATACTTATAGTGGGCGTAATGGTCTTCAAAAAGATCATTTTCTCAGTGTGATTTTTTCACTCAGTAGCTGTATATAAAAGAGGATACAACTTAGTTAATTTCATTCAAGAACATCTCTGGGCCCCAAATCTTGTGGGTCGGAAAAAAATTGAGCTCTCCCCCCCCCCCCCCGTAGCGAATCTTTTTTTTACCGATATCCGTTTCCAATCTTCTGATTGGTGAATACATGCATATCTAATGCCTTGTTCTCCACATCACAAACCCAAGAGAAATGGCCCTTCTTCAGTTATTTGAAAAGGTAAAATAAGAAGAAGTGAAAAAGGCCCACTTAGATTCGAACTCGGATCACCTGGTTAGAAGTCAGGACTACTTCCAACCAGTCCACGAATCAGCCACCAATCGTCGATGATTTATTTGCCATTATTTCTTGTTATATAAGTTGTTCTCTAAAGTCCTGCGGTCAATTTCACGGCGCTGGTTAGCAAAAAAAATTGCTTAGCACAAAAAAGTCTGGCTTATAAAAGCAGGTTAATACCAGCCAAAACTCCATGTCATGTATATTGCTAGTGATAAGTATACAGCTGTTGTTTGCTATAGCATGACAATCACGTGGAGTTTGGCCGGTAAACAGCTTTAATAAAGCCAGATTTTTTTGTGCTAAGCAAGTGTGGTTGCTTTATTAGCAGCGCCGTGAAATTGGGCAATGGACATCATGAATATGCATAATGCAGCGAGACAGTGAGAGCGCCCTCTTTGATATTGTCCGATCTCGTTTGGGAAAAAAACAATTCTCCCCGTTAATTGCAAGCCACGTTAAAAAGTGCGAAAACTTTTGTTTGTGTAAAAAATAGACGTTGAATTCTGTGTCCCATCCCTTTTGTTGTTCTGTGTCTTGAGCTAAAACATCCGATACAAAGATGCTTTGCTTAATGTCTTGCTAGGGACTAGACCCATCTACCCACCAAGGGCGGATCCAGAACACAATTTTTTTGGGGGGGGGGCCCCAAAAATTTTGGTCCCCCAAAAAAGTGGGTCCAAAAAATTACGGCGTGGGGTTCGGGGCCCGCTTAAGGGCCCCGAACATTTTTTGGATTCTGGATGCTCTGTGGTGCGATTTGAGGCAATTTCTGACCACTTTAACCAATGTGTTTTTGAGGAAAAGATGGTGGTGTACTCATTGCCTGCCTTTATTGCGATGTCACATACAAAAAAAATTGGTTTCGTTTTTTTTTTTGGGGGGGGGGGCATGGCCCCCTTTGGCCCCCCGGATCCGCTCTTGCTACCCACCAGGTCTGCAAGATCAGGCACTTTAGCAGTGGATGAATAAGTGTAGCTGTACGGATAGACCCAGTATTGGCTGTAGCTGTGCACATCCACGTGGATCATAAACTGTTGCCCGCCATTTTTCAGACCAAGGAGCCAGTCGGTGACTTGCTTGAGTTCGACGGCATCAAAGGCGCTTCCCCCGCGGTAAGCCTCGGAGCAGGGATAACCAGACGAACCGGATCCACCTGAAATAAAAAGAAAAGCAATTTTCGTTTAGGCACCCAATTACTTTGCATAATTGTCACGTGTTAAGCAGTTTCTGATATTGGCAGTCTGAACATAACTCCAGCAATAGACACTGTGCACTCACCAGCCATATTTGATGTCCATTTTTGTTATTACAGCAACAAGCATTAGGCCTAGTCCTAAAAAAAATCAGCTCTTTGAAAAGTCCCCTAGTTTGTTAGGCTCCTCAATTTTTGGTCTAGAAACACTTAGTGGCGCATCCAGGATTTGGCTTTGGTGGGGGGGGGGGAACTATTTTGACGTTGGTGGCACCACTTACACCCCTATTATAATACTCGAAAGTAGGCCACATACATATCACAAGGTCAAAATGGGAGTAAAAAAAAAAAAATTGACCGGGGGGGGGGGGGGCTCAAGCCCCCGAGGGCCCCCCTTTGGGTGCGCCACTGGAAACACTCCTATTTAAACGGGATATTTGATAGTTTCTTTGAAACTCGGAGAGACGTTTCTTTTTTAATTGTATTTCTTCTCATTTTAAATCTATCTATGAAAATTGAATTGACCTCAAAGCTGCATAATTATTTACCCTACCCCATTTGTATCCATAGTTTCTGTTCATATCGACTCCTGTGCAAGATGGGGTGTAGGTAGGTTGACGATTCTTACGCCACATACGGTCAGTGTTCGACTGCAAAAATCAGAAGTGAATATTGTTAAGATACCTGTTTTAATTTGAGTCAACTTTTTGAGAGGTTCTGAGAATTACTGAGATTAATAATACAAAACAGTATTCTCAAACAAATGAAAGGAGCAGTTGGGACGAAATTCGTCACCGACACCACGAAATAGCAATCTACTTGTTAACCCATATTTTTTTCGGTTTTCAGTTTTTTACATTTTTAAAAATCATTCATCAAGGCCTACCATTGCACGAAGTTTCAAAGCTTCAAGAGCTTTACTTTAATAATTACGCTAATTATCCATGGTAACTTTTGCGCGAAAGTGACAATGTTTCATCACCGACACCACGAAGTAACACTCATGTACATACCAGTAAAAATTATCAATCAGAGAAAACGGCATCTAAAGTTGAACGCCTTCTAGGACAACACTTTGCGTCAAAACTTTAGAGTATTTTCAGTTGAGTTTCTCGTTGTAGACACTTGATGTATTGATGTTATTAAATTTGCTGTTTTTGACCCGTTTGTGTATTAAAACAACAAGAAATAAGAGAAAAAAGATGAGTGCTAGTTCGTAAAACCAAAAAAGCTGCGAAACTGTAAAATTTCGTTTTCACGGAGTAGCACGCTTCAATGTATTACAACACTAGAAGAGTGTTACTTCGTGGAAGCGGAGGTCAGCGCGCGCACGCTCAAACAAGAAGAGTGTACACTCTACCGTGTTAAACCATATTTTTTTTTCGATTTCCAGTTTTTTTGATTTTTAAACATTATTTATCAAGGCCTACCATTGCACGAAGTTTCAAAGCTTCAAGAGCTTTACTTTAATAATTACGCTAAGTATCCATGGCAACTTTTGCGCAAAAGTGACAATTTTCGTTTTCACGAAGTAACACTCAAGTTCCATTTACCATTGCAATGCATGGCGCGCACTCTGCTCAAATGCGAGCAAAAACGTTTTCACGAAGTATACTTCGTGGTGTCGGTGACGGTTTGTATCCATGGCAACTTTTGCGCAAAAGTGACAATTTTCGTTTTCACGAAGTAGTACTCAAGTTCCATTCAGCCTACCATTGAAATGCATGGCGCGCGCTCTGCTCAAATGCGAGCAAAAACGTTTTCACGAAGTAACACTCTCCTTGTGTGAGCTCGCGCGTGCTGACCTCCGTTTCCACGAAGTAACACTCTCCCAGTGTTGTAATAATTGAAGCGTACCGTACTACTTCGTGAAAACAAACATTTATAGTTTCGCAGCTTTTTGGTTTCACGAACTAGCACTCACCTTTTTTTCTCTCTTATTTCTTGCTAATTTAATATACAAACGGATCAAAAACAGAAAATTCGTCACCGTCACCACGAAGTGACACTAACCTCGAAAAATCGATATTTTGCGATTTCGATTTTTTTCCTGATTTGTGATTAATTACACATAATCTATCACCTCAAGAAGTTGCTAAGCACATAGTTAATTAGTTTTGTCAAAACATTAATAAACATTAATTAACATTTGCAACTTTATGGGTCAAAACCGGAAAATGCGTTTTCACGAAGTGTATTATACCATTGTGTAAAGTGCCTGCACACTACGCGTCAAAAACGGGTTTTGCGTTTTCACGAAGTGACACAAATGTCACGTGATACGCGCGACTCACTTCTGGCGTCATCACGAAGTAGCGCTAACCCATTAGCTAATACACGTGGTTAGTGTCACTTCGTGAAAACTCGAACACAGCGTAATCTGAATTTTGAGTTTTCACGAAGTGACGTTATGGTTAATTAGTTTGATAACTCATTAATAGTAATTTATTTCAATGAAAATCATGTATTAACGTGGCATTCAAGATCCCAGCTTTCAGACAATGTAAACAAAATATGAATTTTGATGCTAAAACGATGTTCAGATCACCGTTTCAAAACATCACCAACTTAAATCGCTTGTATCTCAAAACACACATTTTCAAATTCGCGGGGGTTAAGGTCACTCCGTGGTGTCGGTGACGAATTCAATAAATTCAATACATCAAAATGTCCTCAACGAGAAACCCAACTAAAAATACTCTGCAATTTTGACGGAAGGTGTTGTTCTAGAAGGCGTTCAACTTTAGATGCTGTTTTCTCCGATTGCTAGTCTTTACTGGTATGTACATGGGTGTTACTTCGTGGTGTGACTGACGAATTATTTCCAGTGCGATACCATTCACTTCTGCTTTACTAGAAACCACTTTTTCAGACACGGGGAGGAGAGATTTGGGATTATTTAAATTATACATTAATTGAGGGGACCGAGCGAAAGGGGAAGGGCAAAATCCATTTATTGTTGAGAAGCTTATTCGAGAAAAAGGGGACGGTCGACTTTTTGTTTTGTTCACTGGTGGTTTTGTTGTTGTTGTTGTTGTCGTTGCTGTCGTTGTTGTCGTTGTTGTCGTTGTTGATGATTTTCCCCGTGTGAAGTGAATGACCTAAGACCCTATGAGGGCAATGTATTCACCCAGAAGGAAATCTATCTTAGTTGCAGCCTAAATTGCATTTGAAGTAATACTCGATCAAACCTGTTATCCGTGTGTTATCCCTTCTCATTTGGGGGCTTACCGCTTCTGGTCGAGTGTGGTGGTAGCCGTCAACGTTTAATGAAGGAATGACATACCAGTCGAACTTGCTGAAAAACTCAGTGGCGACACTGTCCCCGGCCTTAAAGGCATCGACGAACTGCAAATTTTAAGAGGACCAAGTAAAAAGGAAGGTTTCAAGAAGAAATTTCTCTAACGGAGGATCAACTGACTGTCATTTAATTGACAACAGAGCGTTGTCAGGTTGGTGTAGTTTTGTCAATCAAATGTTGTCATCTCGTCACCTATCAGTCACAATTTATCCTGTATTATTTTAATACAGGTTAGAAATAGGGAAGCCTTCTGTCTTTTGTAGCTAGAGAGCAGAGCCCTTTCTCCAAAATCATCCTTTTCAACGTATGCATATTTCTCCTCAGAAATGTTCCAAATTCGTTTCGCTATAGTCATGTTGAAGTCAAGCGTGGTTGGAATGGAATTGTAGTCATATCATCATCATAAGTCCATCAAAAGTCAATCTTAAGCCTGACCAGTTATTGTGACAAAGACGTTCCATTCCGTTGTTCATCCATAGATAATATTTGTGGCTTAAACTTGTGATTTGACAAATGTTTGACTTGTGATTGAGTCAATTCAACTCTGCATTGTTCTCTTTCATACCAGTCGCAAATCCAGTATCACCTTCTCGAGAGTTGGCAAATACCAGCAGCAATTTTGTTTTCATCAAATGTTTGACAATCTTTTTTTCACAAAACTATTGGTCAAACTTAAAAACCTGCATACCCAACACAGCACGGTCTTACCTTTTTGAGGAGGTTGATGACAGTAGCCGGTGAGACCCATTCTCTGGCATGAATGCCTCCTTGGGTGTAAGCACCGAGCCGCCCGCTCCCCGTAGTCAACTAGAAGAAGAGGCAACACTCTTTATGTCAATGAATTTGCCATTTCTGCTCCAATGTCAGGCCCCATAACGGAAATTGGGGGCTCATTATCGCTAATTTGATTAAAAGGTTGGTAAAAGGTATCTTGCGCTCTTAATCTGGTTGGTAAGTGTGACGTCACTTCAGTTTAAACCACGCCCACTGTACATTAAGTAGCATTGGATTGGAACCATTGGAAGCGGAAGTTAACGCAACTTGAGTATTTATCCAATGGGCGCTAGTACTCAGGGGTGCGCGCGCGTGTATTACGAAGTCACTGACGAACACAGTAACGAACCAGTAAGCTCCGCCCACTACGCACGTGGGCAATTAACACGTGCTCACCATAGATTTCAAAAGATGATTCTTTTAACATTTATGCAGGAGCTCATAGCCTTGCGTGTCATTATGCGCGTGCACGCTTAGCGGACATAAATCACGGCTGTGATTAACGCCATAGGGCGGGGCTTAACGGATTGGTCCAGGGTCAGTTGTCAATTTGCCTGCCCTTTTTCTTGGAAAATTCTTTCAAACCAGCAACTGCACAAGCATTCGACTCGTAACTTTAGGAGTGTTTGTTGCATCAAAAAGCAAACCTTGTTGTTGTGTGTTTACATGAACTTGTAAGTAAGCAGATATTCATACTTATTGCTTGTACCAATAAATTAACAAAAGTACTGGCATTAAGGACATTTACTAGATCAATGTCAAATTTCCTCAATTGTTTATGTTTTTTTTTGTTCTTCAGGTTTTGGTGGGGATGAACCTACATCCGTTCCGCCACTAATGACAAGTTAATGATATCATTCATAGCTTGTTTAGATGTGGTGAACGATTGGGGATACAATGGGGCGTAATTTGGTTGGGGTAACATTTGGTAAGATTATACCGGAACCCACTGCGCCCTACTGTTGTGCCCACCATATTTGTATCTCAAAACAAAAAGCTGATTTGTTTCATCACCCTCAATGCCTTGATCTGGCGACCTTCGTATGACGTGGCAACGTTGATTTCCTCGATAACGAGCGCACTGCTAGATTCATCTTTGCGGAAGTTAGTCACCCAGTCCATGATCTGGAAAAAAATTAAGTGAGTTTATACCAAACTGCATGTGATGCCGTGACATATCCCACGACGGATGAGAAGGTGAATGGGAGGAAGAACTAGCACAGACTCCCTCCACCAATCTCCGCTAGCTCACGAAGTCACCTTGGAATTGAGTGTTAGAATAATACAAGGAAAATATGCAGGGTGAGTCAAAAAACAAAAACAACGAAACCCAAATGTTGGGACCATTGTCTTAATGAAGGTCTGCATAGCACTTCCAAAATCTAGGATATGAAAGCCCAATTCATAAGCTTCCATTTAGTACAAAAATCATTCAAAAAGTTCAACTTTAATTTTAAACACAGCCTTCGTTTTAAAGTTCTGTCCACGGATCACAAGAAGGTAAGTGTTCTTTCAGCAAAACGAAATCAAATCATAAAGGGAAGTGTGTGAATTGTTTTCGTTTTGCTGAAAGAACGCACACTTTTTTTGTGAACCGTGGACAGAACTTTATAACAGTGGTCGTGTTTAAAATTTCGTAACTTAACAAGTACCTGAATGATATGAATGATTCTTGCACTAAACGAAAGCTTATGAATTTGGCCTTCATATTCTAGATTTAGAAAGTGCTACATGTAGAACTTCACTATAACAATAGTCCCGACATTTGGGTTTCGCTTTTTTTGACTCACCCTTTATAAGTCTGAGGTCAGACATTCCCGTGGGCAAAACCATGGTTGAACGTTCAATATATCGTAGTATGTAAATTGTATGCGACCCCGTGCGCCAGCAAATCAGAGTGGTCTTTAGGGGCTATGACATCCGAAATGTGGACTAAGCTGTTGATTGGTCAATTTCGATATCATATTCTGTAACACAACACAGGGTTACGGAAGACCCGATAGAAGGCGCCCGCTGAATGGTCAGAATCTCGAGATCAAGACGCAGACATGTTTTTGCATGATCTGCTCGCATGCTACAGACCTTTGATAGGGATATTCCATAGATTAGGAAATTCCCCCCCCCCCCCAAAAAAAATTTAAAAAATTAAAAAGAGAGAGGAAAGAATGTTAGTAAGCAATAAGAATTGAGTCATAAGGGGCATGCACGGGCTTCGCGAGAGGGTGGCAAGGGGGCGCTTGCGCCCCTGGAAAAGCCAGAAACTGGAGGAAAAAAAGGGGGGGAAGAGAAAAAAAGAAAACAATAAGAGGCACGAAGTCATATTGCTGTAAATTTCATGGGTTTGGGATGTCCCTGCCCCCTTCTAAAATGATAAAGCGAGAATAAGTTGGGAAATACAGGATTTTTTTTGGGAAAAACATGTTTTGCCCCCCTCTAGAAAAATCCTGGCGACGCCCATGATTAGGGAGACATTCCCATAGGGTTGTGCACAAAATGTTTCCAACTTTAATGACCCCAATACCCTACTTTCCCTTATCCTACCCCCACGAATTCTGGTATATTTACGTTTTGGACCGTGAGCAATCGATCTTGCGACGGTACAAATGGTACCTAAACTTAGGAGTTGAGACATTGAAATGTCTCCTTAATGTCCGGTGTCTACCGAAGGAATAACTTATGACTAAAAATGTCTCCTTAAGGGTACATTAACAGGAGTTCGTTTGTGCACTGTGGGTAATAAATTATGAGAGAAAAAAACAAGCAAAAAAAGTTTCACTAAAAGGCCAATATTAGGTTGATGCCGTTCACCGACGATTTCATTAGCACTATATACTCTGAGCACGATGTCCGAGGGCTTAATTGCGATGGGGGAAAAACTACTCGAGTGGAGCCCGAGACCATAACAGTTTAAAGACGCCGGTTGGTTTGGGGCAGGGATGTCATACCTCCTGATAGCTGTGGTATTTGTTGTAATCGAAGGTAGCCAAGGTAGTGGCCTTCTCACGTGACATGATGGCTTTCGTCTCCTCGTCGATAAGACTTTGGACATTATTGATGTGCACTTCAAACTCCAGCTGTACGGCCTCCAAAGCCTGCTTGACATATTCCACGTCGGTGGCCGGAATCATCACTTGACTGGGCTCCCCAACGGGGCCGGTTCTCCAGAAGTCCAGCTGTGATTGGTTTGGGTGAAAATGAAATTAAGGCCGTGATATTGCATCGTGTGCACGGGATGAAAGCATTGGTTATCTTCAGTTTTTATTTTGTATTCCAAAAAAACCTCTTAGACCAGAAAGTAATACCTATGACGATTTCAGGGACTTTTGCAAAGAAAAATTGGACAAATCCTGGAAAAATTGAGAGAAAATGGCAAAACTGTTTGGACCCCTGTACATTTTCAGTGGGCCGCATTCGCTTTTTGCCTTACGGCTCAATAATACGCATGTCTATTGTGATAGAAAGCATTTGGAACAGCAGGCGTTTCCGTAGGCCTACTCACATTTCCAATGATCATGGTGTTTTAGTGCCGTCGAAATATTAGATTTTTTATGCAAGCATGCTAGGTATATGCCCATGTAATTTCTACGTAAAATGTCCTTACACACACTTTCAATATCAATGTATTAAAAATTTTAATAATAATAAATAATAGAAAAAAAGAACTGTGGATTCATCATTCTTCAAAGCCGAAGTCTGTGGTAGATCTGGCAAAAACAAAATCCATACCAGAAGTGATTTTAATATAATTCACTGTACACCGTTAAGTTAACCGAAAACAAATGTACATCGAGCAAACGACATATTGGTTACCATACCACTTGAAATAAACTGGCTAAAGATATAAATGGAAGTCATCTGCAAATCAAGTCAGTTATTTTAGTTGAAACTTAAACATTGGGGGAAATTTGTTGTTGAAGAGCGAAGACCGAGTCATGAAAATGAAAAACACCGTCAAAATCGATGTAAACAATGCATTTATTTCAATTCTATTTCAATTGTCAAACCTTGCGGTGAAAACAAAACTTTCAGTCTGCTGTTCTTTATTTCTAAAGTTAAAAAGAATAGCCCGTTTGTTTTTTTTCCAAAAGATTTTAAGTTGGTACATACGCGCTTTTTGGGTGTGGCCGCTTGAAAAATAGATTTTAAATTTAATTGATAATTGTCTAGCATTACATTAGTTATGAGCTTTCCAATGAGACATCGCACGAAAAAATATCGGCCCAGGACAAGTAAATCAATTAATTAATTAAAACTTTTGAATTAAGAGCGGGACAGTCCTAATTCGTTCTGAATAGTGTGCGCAATTTCTGTACCAGAGCGCGCCATTTTAAAAAAAACACCAGTTTTTTAACTGTATAATGGCCTGCAAAAACAAACAAGCAAATTTATTTGTTACAAGACATTGTATTCCTTTAAATGTCGTTTGGGAAAGAAAATTTTGAAAAAGCACGTATACACCAACTTTAAGTTGCAAATAACACATTCGTGTATGTATTCCAGTTTAATTTTATTCAGTGATTTAAAACAAACAAAACGGAGAATGTAGGCCTACATAAACAAGTAAAGTGTCTATATATAGCAACCATACGTACTTGGTCCATCATTTCATGCATCTGCTCCAATTGGGCTCTTGATTTTGGTGTGATGGTGAACACTTGATACCTTTATTAAAGAAAAGAAAACGTTATAACGTTAAAAAAAAACGTTTCGGGAAACGTTATATACAAGATTGAAAACGATGGCTCTCCCCGTGCTATTATTGGGTCGTATGTATAAAAACTATAGCATTTGCTTTTACTTGCATTTGTAGGCCTAAGAATTAAATGAAGCAAACGCTTTTACTGGAAAGCATTTGCTAAAAACTGAAAGTATTTACTTTTTTACTTTTTAGCTTTTGGTCTTTTTTTGAAGGCTGGGTTGGGGCTACCTTGAGAATATAAAACAAATACTTCTGCGCAAAAATTGCTGCAATTATTAATCGCGCCAAAATATTAACACAAAACGTTTATAAACTACATATAATACCAAACACTATATTTTGAATAAAATTTATGCGAATTATTGGTTTTTTTTAATATTAATTACATTACTAGACGAAACGATGATTTCGCATTTTGTTTACGATATGCGAAGATATATAGGCGTAAAATTCTATGCGGCATGGAATGGAGAAATATTATCCAATGGAACCCTGGGGACTGAACAAAATGAAATCATTGTTTAGTTTATTAAGTCACCAATCTTTGAAAACTAATATCTAAGAAATAATTCGGGTGTATCTCTTTGTGCGTTTTGTAACATTTACGCTAAAATAAAACGTAAAAATTCAAAATTAATTAGATATCAAAAATATATAAATATAAAATAAAAATCGACTTTTTGAAGAACACCCGAGTACAGCTACTTAAACAACCTTTCGATGAGCCTTATGATTTGTGGAATAATTGTTTCACACACATTCTACCACAACAGAATACTGTTTTATTAACGGTTGGTGACCAACAAAAATCCACAAAGCCTCGCAACTCGTGTTGAAAACAATGTTCTAAACTCCAAAAAATTCCTTTTATGTATTTTGTCAACTTAATTTTCTGAGTTGCCGTTATATACATCCCTTCCATTGGTCGATATGGATTCATGAGAGTACCTGTTTTCATGTTCAACTAAGTTTCAACATTAATTCTTACTCATTGCAATACCAGCTCTAAAACGTAAACGTTTCTCCTTCAATTTAGTTCTTTTGTCTATTTAGGTTTTGAACGAATAGACAGAAACAAAATCATACAATTCGAAAGAATTACTTTTTTTGATAAAGTTTTAAGTTACATAAAATTATGAAATCTAGGCATATATACTTTTTCAATAAGAAAATCAGCAGTGTGAACTAATGTAGACTTTTTAACAAAAAATTAAATTTGAAGCAAAATGTCAGGAATCCTGCATCGGCACTATCATTTCAGGATTACATGTACTTTCAAACATTCGCTCATGCACAGCAGTTGATGTTCCGTGTTCCCGCATAATTATGGCCTCCTTAACTAACAAGCAAATCGGGACGTTTCGTTTTATCCATTGTTGTTCCTCACCCCATGATATAGCAACATATTCCATAAGACTTTTTTTCTCAATTCTGTGACCTGGAGTCTTAGTGAAAGGGAAAAAAATACATAAATGCGAAACTTACCCTTCATAACTCTTGCCATGCGCGACAGCGCAGAGCGTCATCAACGCCAGAACGATTAGCGACTTCATCATGCCTAGCTCGCAGCGAAACACTTGTTCCCAAGAAAGTAGAGAGCAACAAAAATGTCCTCTTTTTATTCAAGATTCGGCTGATGGGGGTGCCACGCATCTAACAGATACGGGAACAAACCTCGTTCGAGTTCCAGGTGATGCAGCTCACAGGCGAAGCACAGATAGTTGAATTAATCAATAACAAAATATGTAACAGTGGTCAGTGGTCCAGTTCCTCCGTACAAAGTTCAAGTTGGAAGTCTCAAACACTGGTTAATAATTGTGATGTACTGTATACATCTGTTGTGAATCCTTTTTTTTGTGGATGTGTCTGCATTTTTCCAGTTCAGTTTGAAAATCCTTGTCAGCAAGTTATTGCATCCTTGGTCTGTGCTCACCATAAAACAAAACCGACAGAAAAATACCGCCGTTTTACCACGAGCAACGGCCATGAGAAATGTGGAAAAAAACCCCAATTTTTTGTGTAACTTTCTTCTTGGTGGCCCTGACCCTGATGTTTTCTTCCCAGAGCGAACATCAGAACTCACAAGCCTTTCATTTTTTTCTCCTTATGGGCTAAACATTTTGATTGTAAGTAGAAAGGTTTTCCTTTAATTCCAGTCATTCGTAAAAATTCCACTTCAATATACAGAAACAACATACAACTCTTTAATTGCATTATTTATTGATCTTTTCAACAAGTCACAATAGTGTTGTTATAAGTGTATTTGTGTATTTGTTTTGTGAGAAGATAATCTTCTCCGTGATCACCGTCAGTATGTTACACAGGGAGTATATATAGTACAGCTTTTGCTGTAAGTCCCACATACGCTTCCACTGGTATCACCTGCTTTGACTTTGAAGTACTTTATAGACACAATCTCGAGAAATGGTTAGGACATGGCTTACCGAAATATGTGAAATGCCTAGATTACAGGATGGCATTTCGGGACTGGTCCCCATTTTGACCTCCCTATACAATCCTCTTTTATCATGGCACATGCTACTGGTACACAGTAATATCCCTATTTAAATTAATTCCATCGAAAACGTTATCGATTTGTTTAAATTTGAAGTTTCCCATTTATGATGACATCATTCGAGCCTCTACGCGTACTCAGCCACCATGCTTCTGCAGAGCTCTTTGATGGCTTCGAAGGTTTCCTCAGCCGTGGCCTGGATCTGAGACTCGGGGAGGAGGAAGCCGTACCGTCCCTCGTCGCGGAGTTCCACCACGTAGGTGTACTTGGCGCCCAACGTGCCGAAGCCCCAATCCTCACTGGCACCCGAAGCCGCGTCTACGGTGGAGAGAGAGCAGAACAGAATATTTGTATCATTTGTAAAGGCTAGCCACGCTATAGCCTACTGAGTAACTATAGGCCTGCTGTTGGTGATGGTGCTTTGAACTTTATTTTGTACCCTATCTTATCGATCGTGTTAACTTGTCATCTTCAATTATAAAGTTTTATCCTGACGTTTTTTCCCCTCCCATTTCCGCTCGCTGTCCATCTCCGCCTTCATATCCGCTCACACTCCCACAATTGGAAACTAAAGATGCAAGATTAGGTTGCATCTGCATGCATTTACCGTATCCATGTCGTATTGTTGGGGGGGGGTGGCTGAAGTTATTTGATTAGGAACAAACGGTTTCCGTTCGTGATATAACTTTTAATTGTTAATTTCATTCTAACCAGAAGCCACCTGATGCTTCTAAGTCGTTATATTCGAGCCTTAAGAGACCCCATAGCAACCTCAAGTCGGCCTATAAGAATCACTAACATGACTATTAAAGTGATACACATCCAAAAATTAAAAAAACCATTGCATGGACCAGGAAGAATATGACTTCGCCCCTCCCTCCTCCAGACCCTCATTTCCCTCATCACTTTTGTATATATCAATAACATCCCAATTTGTCCATGCATGCACTTACACATTGCCTTAGCAGAGCCCCCGACGAGATAAGAGGTCCCATAGAGACTGGCCAGAGAAGAGGTTGCCGCCTTCGCTACGGTATCCTATAAAGGCAAAGTATATGGGCATTTGGGAGGTGATTATACGCCGTCTGTGAGTTTTTAACAGCTTGAGTAGGATCCAGTGGGCAGCAGGGACGGAGCATCATTTTCTGGACGGAGTGCTCAATGAGTTTGGTCATGCAGTTTTAATAAGCAAAATAATTAGCTCTGTTTCTGTTCTCCATTTTTGAGAGGGGGGGGGCACAAGGAAGACACTGTTTTTAAAGTATTAGCTGCACCGTGTTATAGTCCGGTTTCACTATAGGCAAAAACAAATCGCACACTTCGTCCGTACGAACGATAACACTTAAGTTTGCTTCAAGGTCATTATACACATGCTAGAAGTTATAGTTGCCTCAAACGTGCATGTCCACTATAGGATTGCTACATGAATAAAAGTCAGGCTATAAAGGGCCCTGTATTCACAATCCCTCCTCCATGGTTTGCACCAGTTGTATTTCATTTCAACTTCAACAATGTCTTCTTTGAGATAGATTAATTGATTGTATATCAATTCTCTAAATAGTCACGAGTAGACAAAAACACGGAATAATATTGTGCCCTGCAAAAACTTTGTTTAGCAATTAAACACTTCTCTTAAAATTTTCTCGCCATCGCTTTGTATAAATACTAAACATATTCAGAGTATTGACGGATACAACCATTGAACAAAAACAATTCCTCGATTCCCAGCTTCTAAAAAACCTTTTGATAACCTCACCATATCGTCTGCCTCAGCCGGTAGGGGAATCAATGCAGAGTAGCCCCATGGGTACAGCCAGTACTGACCGTAGGCATGGACATCCATGTGGAGGTGGAAGGGCTTACCGGCCGCCTTGAGACCCAGAAGCCAGTTGGTCAGACCACTTAGCTCGGGCTCGGACATGGCGCTGGGTCCGCGGTAGGTTTCGTCGCATTCGCTGCTGCTGGCTCCCCGACCTGATTGGGTTTTTTAATATGAAAAGGTCCAAATTATCTTCTTGGGAAAGTTGTACAATGATTAAAAACCAGCTTTCAATTCTTTGTATTATCTATTTAGCACGGCGAATAGGTGATGGGATTGTACCTTTCTTGATACATTGCATGGCACCAGTCAGAGTTTGTAATGAGAAAGATATTTGGTTATAGGGCCATCGCAGATTTGTCCTTTGAATAAAATATAGGTAGAATAAGAAGCATTGGCAGCCATTTTGAAAAAAATTGAAAATTGCTTGTTATTCTACGTAAGTGTTTTCAAATGACAAATTTGCGACCGCCCTATAGCCAAATATTGTTCATAAGACATACTCTGACTGTGTGCCAAATTCAATGCTTGTATCATCAAGGGCACTGTTCCCCCTAATATTTCCCTTATTTGCCTCGCAAATTTTTCTGTTCTTAGTAAACTGATGTTGCTATTCAAAAGGGTACGTTATAAGGCGGAGTGATTGGTATTTCCAAGAGCAGCTTTTCATGTAAGGATTGGGTGTTTTTAAGGAGCCAATTTGTTAGTAGATATTCCTTTAAACCATTCATTAATGTTAAAGAAATATGCACATGTAAACCGCAAACCCCTCCGTAGAGTGTGCATCAGATTTTAAACTAGACACCCAGGCATTTCTGGTCCTGGGTGCATTTTATGTAGTTTTTTTCTTGAGAGAAATATTTTACCTCCCCACTGATAGTCGTAGTTTCTGTTGAGATCCACTCCCCTGCAACGCTTCTTGGATGTTACCTGCCGATTCTTGCGCCACATTCGGTCCTTAATTCAAAGATAAATCAATACAAGAATTTCACTTTTGTTTTGATACAGGGTGATTAAAAAAAAAGGAAATCCAAATGTCAGGACCTTTTTATGAATGAAGTTCTGCATGTAGCACTTTCAAAATCTAGGATATGAAAGCCCAATTCATAAGCTTTCTTTTAGTACAAGAATCATTACAAAAAAGGTACCGACAAGTGTTCTTTCAGCAAAACGAAAACAATTCACATACATCCTTATGTGAATTGTTTCCTTTTGCTGAAAGAACACTTACTTGTATTGTGATCCGTGGACAGAACTTTAAAACTTTGTTTGTGTTTAAAATTCCATAACTTGAAAAGCACATGAGTGATTTGAATGATTCTTGTCCTAATTATTGGGTTTTCTTTCATATCCTTCATTTTGAAAGTGCTACATGAAGAACTTCCTTAAAAATGGTCCTGACATTTGGGTTTTCTTTTCTTTCTTTTTTACTCACTTTATGTGCACCATTTGACAGGGTTTTTACCTTCTCGGAATATTGTAATTGCCCTGCGTGAATCTGAATATTGGATAATAAAATAAAGGTGAAGGTTTCGTTTCGTTTTGCTTTGAGCGAGCACAACTCACATTGGTCCAGGAATACGAGTAACCATCCACATTGAGGCAAGGAACGATGTACCAGTCGAAGGAATCCAACATGGCCGTCACGTCGGGATCTGTACCGTAGCTCTCGGCAAGCTGTACATTCAAACAACAAAAGTAAGATTATTGTGACCTTCTCGTGCAATCGGAAATCATGGATTAACTGACGTGAACCGATAGACCTCATTATTTACCTCCGCCGTTACAGGTTATGTTTTTTTTTAGGGTTGTCCTTGGTACCAGTACAAATCGATTAGATTTTGCAAGTGATTTGCATCTGGGTGCAGAATTTTTTTCACGATTTTTTACTCATCATATGGAAAACTTTCACCCTATCACCAACTTCGTGTTTGTGACACTGACCCGGTAACCCTATGCCTTATCACCCGCTTAATCTAACCACACAGGTCAATGGACTAGATCATTTTATACAACGGGGGAGTGGAAAGGTAGACAAACACAGGCATGTACATGTAAACTACAACATGTTAGAGTTTAAGGATGTGTTTTAGAAACCACATCTGTGCGTTAACGTTGCTGTGTGTAATGGCGGGAAATTGTTAAGCCTTGGCGGAGGTATACTTTGATTACTCTTTGTTGATAAGATGCGGGGTCGTTTTAATGATTTTTTGTTAAATTGAACTACCAAGATAAGGTAATATAGTTAACAATCTTCAATACAACAGAAGATGGAAGGAGACTGAATCACTTGTCATTATACCTTCTTGGCCATGTTGACCATGGTAGCTGGTGAGATCCATTCCCTGGCGTGAATGCCTCCCTGCATGAAGGCTCCTGGTTTACCCCACCCCTTGCTGCCCAGCTGAATGTATGAATGGACAAAACAAAGTCAGATCCAGAAGCGGTGATCTCTTGTTATTATTGGAGGACGGGGGACCACCAACTTAGTTAATTCGAAAGGGGAAGGGGGCTATCTGTCACCGGGGGCGCTGTTCGTATTTATGCATATACATAAGTCATGTACATTGTGCATACTGCTTTTTGTGCGTAGATGCTTATTTATTTACATGAAATAATAGGTGGTAGACAGGGGGGGGGGGGGAGTAGTGAAGACTTTGGTTGATTTGATTAAAACAAAACAAAAAACATACACACACACACACACACACAACTGGGATTTTTTTCTGGCCGGCGGCGGACATCACGTCGCCATTGGCGTCATCGACAAGAATATACGGCTTACCTGGTGTGGATGATTCACCTAACCCCATACTCCCGTTGACCCGCCACTAAAATGCACGTTCAACGGATATTTAAAGTAAAGTAAGCCTATAGGAGCCACTTTTGTGGGCCAGCCCTTCAGAGTACGTGCATTTTGGTGTGGACCGGGCGTCTATAAAGACCAAATTACCAACTTGATAAACCATGACTGAGTTACCTTGATGGCCTTGATGTCTCTCCCTTCTACTGACTGTGTGACCACTATCTCCTCAGCAATGCTGCTGTACTCGGACACAAAGTCTGTCACCCACTGCATCAACTGCATGTTGAAAAATCAAACTGAAACTTATTCTTTAACATATTCTTTGAAATTAAGTCGTAGAATATGTACCCATTTAAATAAAAGTATTGAAGTAAAATGCCTGAAATATTTTGAGGTAATTACATTTTTGTTTGTTCACTGGTGCACCTGCAGGCATTACTATTCTTTTTGTTACTACATAGGTCTACATTAGTAATTTGCATATACTTTTTTCTAATCCGTCATTCTCCCACAATATACCTCTTCGTAAGTGTGGTAGCTGTTATAGTCGAACCCACCGATGGCACTGATACCAGCCGATGACGTCATAGACTCGTCGATCAGTTCCTGGACGTCTTCGATGTGGACAGTGAAGCCAATACCGCGGTTCTCCAACACCTCTCTGAGTTCAGCCTGGTACCGCGGCGGTACCATTACGTCCATTGGCTGGTTCAGGGAGTGAGACGTCTTCCAGAAGTCCAACTAAATTCGGTGAGACAAAATAATTGTCAACGTCAGGATTAGTAAGATTTGAGGCTTTGCATGGTGGAGATACTAAATAATGAAAGGTTTGCGGAAACACCATGTGCGAATAATTTCTCAACTAAGAGAATGGTTCTGTTTATACTTCTGGTTCTTTTCAGAACCATTCTCTTAGTGGAGAAGTTATTCGCACATGGTGTTTCTGCAAACCTTTCATTATTTAACATCAGGATTACTTTCTTATACCCAAGGAATCCTTGGCATTTATACTTTCAGCAGTAAACAGTCCATGAATGAATATTTTCGTGGTGTTTTTGTGCAATATACGTGTATATGATCAATGCGTCACTTCATTTCGTTACCTTTAATCGAATCTGAAATTCCTTGAAGTGCATAAATACTGGGAGCCCTATGTGCATTGATAGTGTTGTCAAAGATTTATTATTGTTTGAAAAGCTGCTCTACAGACTCCCCGAATATGTTGCAACTTCTCCTTTCACGATGGTGCAAGACTGGTGCATGTCACGTTGTGTAACGCTTGTTCTTTCTTCAAAAAGGCCGGATTTGTATACACTCTAAAAAGTCCTCTGTCAGATTGATCTGTATTCCGGGTTCTACATGGCTTAACCCTTCCCGGGTTGAACATGAAACTTTTCCGGGCCAAAAATGACACTTTTTGCCAAGGTTGCTGGGTCAAACTGACCAGGTAAGTTGTCTTTTATCCCGGAAAAGTGTCATTTTTGACTCGGAAAAGGGTTAGGCCAAGTAGAACATCATTTCTGGGTCAATGTGACCAGGGACTTTTTATAGAGTGTATGAAAACTTAATCCTTCTTGTTGACTTGCTGTTTACTGGAATAAGTCATCATTATTGTTACCTTAGAAGGCCAACAGTTCCAAAGTAGGCCTACATCAATCATGTACGTGTATCCTTCCTTTCGATGTAGCTTTGAGGTTGCTTTCTCAGTTTCTATCCCGGTATTGTAGAAATGTTTTCAGTCTGAATGAAAAACTTACCTTTGATACGAAACTCTTTTCAAAATGTTCAAGCCATTCCTTCTGACCTTCTGATCGAGGTACAATCCGCAAGACCTCGTACCTGAAAATGACCCCCAAAAGTATTTTATCATTTGTGAGTGGTCATTTTTATCACCGTTCTAAATCCCAAAATTTGCGGAGATGACAACAGAATAAAAATGTGCAACCGAATTTGAGGGATCAACAAAAGCTTCTTTTTTTCGATTTTCTATGAGATTTTCCAAGAAAAAAGGTAACAGGTTGAGCGGTAAATTATTACTCGAAGTTCTACAGCCCCGATGAGATTCTTGTATTGTAAGGGTGTACATCATTACCACACTAAAAGTTCAAATGAATGTGTTTCTTGGCTGGACTTCAAGCACAAAATATTGTGTTTTTAAAGTTTGAAGTTTTGAAAGGCTTTCGACAGTTTCTGTTAGTTAAACGAAGGGTGCGAACAAAAAAAAGTTAAGGTCGAACCCTGGTTAAACGTGATCTTATTTTAAATAAAAAAAAATACACAAAATAGGGTTGGTTTGGCAATTTATGATGCCAAATCGGCAAGATAAATCCTGTTTGGTGAAAACCAAATAATTTACACGGTTCATGAAATACTATAATTAGTTGTCACGCTTACCCGTCATATCTGACTTGGCCCGGGGCGCAAGTGGCGACCGCTACAAGAGCTAGAACGAGCAATAAGCGCATGGTGCCGGTGAGGTCTAACCAGTGTGTGTGAGTTGAGAAAGCTGTCAATCCGTTTTTATATCAGAGGATTAAAAGGATTAGGAATTATATCTATAATCATCTTATGATATTTCTGGTGTTTGCATAAGGGTTTCCGGTGTGGAGGGTGCTCCATTGTGTTTATCTGTTGCCTGAGCTTTTCTCATTTTTCTGGCTTCCTTCACAATCTCGCCAGAAATCAAACTGATGTCGTCGGAATACCTTGGTGTCAATATTTTGCTACATCGTGCCCAGTCAAGCGACAATTCCTTGATATACTAATACGGAACTTCTACCAATGTGAGATCACCCGCACACTATTTACAATAAATTAAGAAACAAGCTCGATCGGATAATATGTCGGAAGCTGCGGGCCAACGAATTCGTGTCCATGCATGAGTCACGTGATTGTGCCATGTAATTTCTGGAAGTAGTAACGGTATAGTGTTTTGAGTAAGGTTTTTGACCCCAGTAACCCCATGATGACCTTAAACCCCAGTTTGGTCATGTGACATGTTGGGGCTGGGATACTGATACTTTCGATAAAGTTTGATTGAAATCGGTCAAAATATGAAGGAGCAATAGACAATGTCAACTTGTGTAACTAACAGACTTTGCGGAGAGACATGATGATTTGTTGAGCTGCTATCCCGCAGCTAAAAAAGTGACTTGTTCTGCCCAAAAAAACCAGTCTCTTCTACATCAGCCTACATGGGCAGTTGAAACAAGGGTTTACAAACTTTGGTTTATATGAACTGTTTATGCTAACCTTCAGGGAACCGTGAAAATGAGTTTCAGAGGAAAAACAATACGGATGACTCACTATTCATAATTTTTTTTCTTAAAGCCAAACAGACTTTTTTTTACACAATAACCTCATAAAGTGGCACTAGCATCTGGAAAAGTATTAAAATAGTACACACTGACATTGTTATTCTCAAGCCCAGGGACAAAAGGTCGGAGAGTCAGTCAGTAAAAAAAAAATGGTTTCTGACTGCATTACACTTAAAAGACATTCATCAAAGACAGGGATGTTTAAATAGCTGAGTAGTTTTATATAATTTATTTCAAAGCTTTCGGCCTAAAGAAACACTCACGTAAGTTGTTCAAAATTATTTCTGTATGTACATGAATTGGCATTACAGAGTTTTATGGTAATGATAATAATAATAACAACGATTTCTACTAATGCTATAATAGGGCGAATTTCCCATAGACATGCACACAAACCTAAACTGTCACTAACCCAAGTTTACCTTATCCTTTCTTTACGGAATTCGGTAATTTTACTAATTGGACCACACTCGATTTAGATGGTTTGCGACACTAAAATTCCTCGTCCCGAGGGTCGTTTTAACAATAGGGCGACACCAAATTGTCACCCCAATAAGGCGTGTCGCCCTAATCCAGACGAAACTTGAAAAAAACTGTCGCCCGTTTGCGGGTTTCTATAGATTAAAGGATTTATATGGAGCTTTATGTAAAAATACCTCAAAGCGCCTCACAATAATAACTAAAAAAAACCTAGGAAATGAAAATACTAAAATAAAATATAAAAGTTACTTAAAGTGCTACAGTGTCAAGTACTATACACGCAAACAAAACTAAAATGCAAGTTAATATGCTAGAAGAAAACAATTAAAACCTAAAAACAATCTTTAAACAGCCAAACCAAAACAGTCATGTTGTTGCTAAGGCAAGGCGTCTGCCGTTGTTAAACAAAGCTAATCCGATTACGTACTTTGACCTATAGCAAAGCAGTGAAATTCATGCACCACAAAACAATGGCCTTTTGAACGTTGTGTTTTTCAGAAAATATGCACAGTATGATTGAAAAATTAAATTATAACGGAAGAAGAAATTCTCAACTTCATGTCAGTAAAAAAATCGCCGTCATCGATGCCGAAACGTCAATACTGGTTACTGGCATAGCTGACCTTCAAGTCTGGAAGAAATCGTTCGAAAACTTCCCCAAATCTCTGTTTTTATATCTATTTCTAGGAATTTCTCAAAATTGTTATTTCACGTGCATTTGAACATTTATATCATCTTTATATCTTATATTTATAATTTCAGCTTAAAATGTTGTTGCAAACGCTAGTGTTACAATTTGAACGATCTCCATGGAAAATTTCGAAGATAATTTCTGCCGGCCCAAGTCACATGCATTGTTCAGCAAAACGCCTTAGGCGCTATACGGTTGACCGATTTCGGCCAAGCCACACAATATCGTATTGTAGATTAGCATATTCATTAGCGTCACTCGGCGTGTTGTGGCGTGGGTCTCGGTACCGACCAATGGAAGCCGGCAAAAAGGTTGATATTTATTAATAAATAGCTTGTGAAGGAGGCTTTGCTCAATTTTTTCACTGCACACCGTAATGGATAGGAATCTTATTAATATTCGTGAGAATTGGAAAGATTTACAACTATTGCAAACGTCAGTGTTACAACTTTCAATGATGCACGTAGCCAGGCCTATTTTTTTTCCAATTTCAACGAAAGTAATGAACACGTCACGGCGATTTTTAGCACATACTTGGATCATTATGAGGAAAGTAAACCCTGAAAGTTGCATGGAAAAACGGTCTTCCAAACAGGAGAAATTAATTTTCAAAGATTTCGCCCGCAAAAGTGAACATGTGTGTTCACATGTAGTTTCATTCAAAATGAAGTGTTAAGTAACCTTTAGAAATCACCCTTCGCAACCGTATGACTGAAAAACATTCAAAATATCAGATATTTATAAGTACCACATACACCTTTATAGAGCTAAAAGTAGAGTAAATCCAGTGCAACACAGGGGGAAATGGCTACAATAGCAAAAAGGTAAGTAAGTAGTAGTAACATTTATTCAATGATGTCATTCATTACAATTATGTACAAACATGTATACATTAGAGAAAGTCACTAGTATAATATTTTATAGATATGTACACAGTGATTAATTATAAAGTGTGAAATTAAATGACAACATTTAGGTATAAGGTTAAGCAGAACGCTTTTGTGCCCTTACCTATGGACAAACATACAACCAAAGGACAAACAAAACAATACGTGAGACAGACAGGACAAGCGTGAGACAAGGCCTAAATATTAATACACAAAATAATGGAATTTCAATTTATGAATATGATTCGAGAAAATGAGTTTTAAAATTTTTGACAAAGACAGATAGTGAAGGTAACAATTTAAGAGAATCATCTAAACTATTTCAGTACAAAGTGCCTCGGTGAATAACACTATTTTTTGACATTGACGTTCTGTTAAATTGGACAAACAAATTTCCCCTAGCACTACTTCGAGTATTATATACATGAACGTTAGATGCTAAGGTAAAACAAGAATTAAAACATGACGGAAGTAAATTATGCATACATTTATACATTAGTTTTCCTAAATTAAGGTAATATAAGTCATTACATTGTAATATATTTAATTTAGCAAATAATGGAGCAGAATGATCACGATAGCCAGCATTTAAAATTATACGAACTGCTCGTTTCTGTAAAGTAAGTAATTTGTTACACTTAGATGGCGAACTACCCCAGGTCAAGATTGAGTAATTTAAGTAGGGTAATTAAAACAAATGAATTATACAATGTTAATAAAATCTTACTCGGTAATATTTCAAACGGTTCATTATTCCAATGTTCTTTGAAATTTTTGTTGCTACTTCATCAATATGATTTTTCCAAGTGAGATTTTCATCAATAGTTACACCCAGGAATTTAGTTATCTTAACCTGATTAAGCCTTGAGTTATTCAAAATCAGAGGAACAGATTGTGTGTACTTAAACTGATTGGCCCAAAAAATCATATAATTTGACTTGACGACATTAATACATAATTTATTTGCGAGAAGCCATGTACTGATTTTTTTAAGTTCCACATTTAGGTTACTAATTGCTTCATCTACATTATCGTAAGTATACAACAAACTTGTATCATCTGCAAATAAACAAAATGTTACAGTGTCTGAAGTATTACATATATCATTAATATAAAGAAGAAATAGTAAAGGACCCAATACGGAACCCTGAGGTACCCCTCACATAATGAATCGGCTGGTTGAAGTTATAGAGTGAAATGACACATACTGCTTTCTGTTACACAAATAACTTTTCAGTAGGTCCAAAGCTGTTCCCCGCATTCCGTATTGATCTAATTTACTTATAAGAATATCGTGATTTACAGTATCAAATGCTTTAGACAAGTCCAAGAAAATGCCTATGGAGAAGTTATTTTGATCAAGTGCATTACATAATTTACTAATTACATACGATATCGCTAATTCAGTTGAACGATTTTGTCTAAATCCAAATTGAGACTCGGAGAGAATATTATTTTTAGTGATAAAAGATACTAATCGTTTATAAATAAGCTTTTCAAATAGTTTTGAAAATGTACATATGACCGATATGGGTCTATACTTGGTAATGTCATGCTTGCAGCCTTTTTTATAGATCGGTGTTACTTGGGCTATTTTTAAATCATCGGGAAAAACTCCAGCTGTCAAACACTTGTTAAAGATGTCAGACAAAGGCTTAGCTAAAGAATACCGTGCTTGTTTGATGACAGAAGAACTTAAACCATCAAATCCAGGGGCCTTCCCAGAAGGTATTTTGTTAAGATAATCAACAACCTCTTCCTTGGTAAAAGGTGTAAGAAACCGTGAATTTGGACATTTGTTGCGTAGAAAGGAATCAAAGGAAGTGTTACATAACGGGAGTTCACTGGAGAGGCTACTGCCGATGTTAACAAAGTAGTTGTTAAATGCTTCTGCAATTTCCTTGTCATTGTTAATTTCGTTACCTTCCTGAAAGAATTAAGATGTGTTTACGTTTTGCTTGCGCTTGTTAAGTAAGGAGTTAATAACTTTCCAAGTACCCTTGATATTACCTTGTGCTTCGCTAAATTTTGTGTTAAAATATTCTTTTTTTGCTAATTTGATTAAAGAATTCAGTTTGTTTTTATACAGAGTATAAACAGATTTATTATTCGC